AGAAAAACTCATATTTTATACATACTTTACATTGTTATTTTCTCCTCCTCCCTCCCTTCCCACCCCCTCCCAACCCCTACTTCGTGTGCCTCAAGTTAACATGCACCGCCTTCACATTCGTATAATTATGCAGCGCATACTCGCCCAGCTCGCGCCCGATCCCGCTCTGCTTGAACCCGCCAAACGGCACGTTCGCGTGGAGCTGGTTCACGCAGTTGACCCACGCGGTGCCCGCCTGCAGCTTGTGCGCCGTCTCGAGCGCGCGGTTGATGTTCTGCGAGAAGACGGCGGCGGCGAGGCCGTAGACCGTGTCGTTGGCTTGGCGGAGGACGTCTGGGGTGGGTTAGCGGTGGCGCAGGTGAGAGGAGGGAGGGGGAGGGGAAGGGAAAGGGAGGGAGGGCGAAGGGCGAGGAGGAGCGGGAGGAGGAGCGGGAGGAGTGGAAGGGAAGGCGGAGGAAGGGAAGGAGCGGAGAGGGAGCGGACGAAGAGAAAGAAAGCGCGGGGAAGGAACGACAGTGAAAGAGCAATGGAACCACGGCAAGACACAGGCGAAGCCAAGCGCCACTCACCCTCCTCATCCTTAAACTTGATCACCACGCCCACCGGCCCGAAGATCTCCTCCTTCACGATCTTCATCTCGGGCGTGACGTCCGTGAAGATCGTCGGCTTGATAAAGTAGCCCTCCGTCCCGTGGCGCTCCCCGCCGATGTGCACCGTCGCGCCCTCCTGCCGCCCCGAGTCGATGTACCCCATGATGCGCTGCACGAGATGAGTGTCGTGCGAAGAGTGATGGGGGAGGGGAGAGACGCACGTCGTACTGCAGCTGGCTGACCTGCGGGCCCTGGTCGACGCCGGGCGCGAAGGGGTCCCCGACGTTGATGGTCTGCGTCTTGGCCGTGAACTTGGCGAGGAACTCGTCGTAGATGCCCTCCTGCACGAAGATGCGCGAGCCGGCGCAGCACGCCTGGCCGTGGTTCCAGCTGGAGAAGGGAGGGGGGTTAGTGTGGTCGTACGATCAAGAGACGAAGGAGGGATGGGAGGAGGAGGAGGGGCATGCGGCGCAGGATGATGTGGGGACGGTGTGTGGGATACGATGAAGGAAGGGAGCGGGGAATGGGGCGGGGGAGAGGAGGTACGAGGGATGATGAGGAGGGGAGGGAGATGGAGGAGGGAGGAGCACGGCGCGGGAAGGAAGGGAGCTGGGAGCTGGGAGCGGGGCGAGGGAGGGGGGTCCGAGCGATGAGGGACGAAGAGGGGAGGTAAGGGGTGTGTGCGAGGGAAGAGGGCGCGGAAAGGAGCGAACAGGCGGCAGCGAGGTACGAGCGGTGGACGAGGGTGGAGGAATGACCAAGGGAGGAGAGGGGCAGGGGTGCGAAGGACAGAAGGTGCGAGGGAGGGACGATAACGAAGGGAGATGTATGCCCGAGCGAGACGAGCACGCTCATCGCGCGCCCCTCGCACAAACGCGCACGAAAAAACCAAACGCCAAAATCACACACGCAGAAAACTCACAAAATCCCGTGCGCCGCCCAGTTCACCGCCTGCTCCATGTCCGCGTCGTCAAAGATGATGTTCGGGCTCTTCCCGCCGAGCTCGAGCGTCACGTTCTTGAGGTTCGACGCCGCCGCCGCCGCCATGATCTTGCGCCCCACGAGCGTCGAGCCCGTGAACGCGACCTTCTGGATGTCCATGTGCTCCGCGATCGCCTGGCCCACGGTCTGCCCGTACCTGCGTCGTGCGTCAGTACGTGCGTGCGTCTTGCGTCTCCTCTCCTCGTCAAAAGTAAAGAAGTAAAGAAGTGAAGTAACCGGTCTGCCGTCAAAGCCGGTACCCCCGCCCAGCGCCCGTGCGGCCAGCAACCCAACCCGCACACGGCGCAAATGAAGAGGGAGAGGGGCAGGAGGGCGCGTGCGCACGCCCGCCCCCGCAGTCGAAAACAAAACAAAAAACAGAAGGCGGACGCACCCGACGAGGATATTGACCACGCCCTTGGGGAAGCCCGCCTCGTTGATGAGCGCGGCCATGCGCAGCGCGGTGAGGGGCGTGAACTCGGAGGGCTGTGGGAGACACAAAAGGGGGGGTTAGCGTTTGGTTGATGGGGGGGGAGAGATGTGTCTGCATCGACTCGGCAAAAAACAGGAAGGGGAAAGGGACGGGGGGGCCGGGTGGGGGGTGGAGCGGGAAGGGAGGAGGGTAGAAGGACGGGGAGAGGGCGAGGATGGAAGGAGTGGAGGGCGAAGGGAGGGAAGGGAGGGGGAGGGAGGAGGGCAGAAGGGAGGGCGGAGGAGGGGCGGGAAGGACGGGGAGGAGCGGGAAACAAGGGAAAGGGCGGGTGAAAGCGGGTGAAGCGGGGAAGGCAAATCGACTCGAAAGTAACCACCATCCTGGAAAGGAAAGGCACCTTGATGACGATCGTGTTCCCGGTCGCGAGCGCGGGGCCGATCTTCCACGCGAACATGAGGAGGGGGAAGTTCCCTGGGGAAGGGAGTTAGCGGCCGTTGGGAGGATGTAAGCGGGGAGGGAGGTAGAGGGGAGGGAGGGTGAGGTGCGAGGCAAGGCGGTCATCTACGCGCTCGACTGCGCACGAGCCCGCAATCTATCCGCACCACGAGCCTCTTCCCAAAAAATCAAATAGAAACTCGACGTACAGGGAATGATCTGCCCGACGACGCCGAGCGGCTCGTGCCGTGTGTAGATGAGCTTCTTCTCGTCCGTCTCGATCGTCTGGCCCGAGATCTTGTCGGCCCAGCCGGCGAAGTATCTGCGGCACGAGCGTCAGCGAGTGCTCGCAAGTCCACACGAGTAAGCGGGCACGAGGGAACGCGTAAAGCATGTGGCGCGTGAAAAGAAGGGTGGGACACGGCAAAGGCCCGGGGCGGAAGAGCGTGTGGCGCGGGCGAGTGAAAGGAAGGCTCGCCAGGGAACGGCGGAAAAAGGTATAGCACGCACTTGATGGTCTGGATGCTAAAGGTAACGTCCGTGCCCTTTGCCCACCCGAACGTCTTGCCTGCGAAGCGTGTGAGCATACCCAGTGGCGGAAAGAGAGTGTAGTGCACACCATTGTCCAGCGACTCGATCGCGCTGAGCTCGTCCAAGTCGCGCTCCATGAGCAGCGCGAGCTTCATGAGCAGACTCGCGCGCAGCTCCCCGCTCGCGTTGAGCCCCCACTCCGTCTCGAGCACCGTCTGCGCGACCTTGACCGCGATGTCCACGTCCGCCGCCGTCGCCTCCGCGATCTGCGTGATCAGCTTCCCGTTCGTCGGGTTGATTACACTGTGCCCTATCAACCTCCTCATATTACAGTGAAATAGGAGGGAACGCGCACTCGATGGTCGTCTTGTCCGCCCCGTCGCGGAACTCGCCGCCGATGAACACGCCCGTCTGGAAGGTCGTCTTCCCGTTGAACGACTCTGTCTTGAACTCGTGCGTGAATGTCGGTGCCATTATGGGGTGAGAAGGGCGTGGGCTGGGTTTATATACACCCGCCCCGCACCAGCTGATCCCTGACCTAAGCAAAATTCATTCCATCCGCATCCGCATTCCGCTCGCTTCCCCATACGCTTGGCTTTAACTTAACCGCACCTGTCTGTCCCCCCCGCCGCTCTCCCGCCACAGCGTCCCCATCGGCATAAGGCCCGTCCCCAACGAGCTGCAAAGTGAGCGTCGCGCCAGATTGAGAGCGGGAGCCGCAGCCATACATTAGGAGTGGGAGGAGTCAATTCAATTGGGAGAGCAAAGAGCCTAGAGCCGGCCCGCGTCAGCTGATGATCACGCCCGTCAATGACACATCCCGCATTGTTCCGCCCCCCCGCGACCGGGGATGCGGGGTACGACGCGGGGTGGGTACGCCTGCGCGTCTGCGACTTGGGGTGACGGCACTCCGACGTGCTTCCACAGATCGTTCCGCCACGGTGTAACGGCACACCGAGCCCCTTTTGCATGATTGTTTGCGACCGACCCGTGTCCGCCCGGGCGGGTTATCTCTCTTCCTGCCGATAGACAACTCATCATATGTGCATGAACCTCAGTCGTTCCCATCCGTGCTCCAAGGCTAGGTATCCCCCGCGCGAATCGTTCACTTGAATTAATATATAGCCCATTCTTGAATCTCGTACTCGCTGGCATGTTTTCGTCCTCGAATTCCTCCGGGCCCGGGTGATCCCGACGGGCGGCGGGCGAGGCCTGCCCAGGCGCACAGAACAGATTAGCCACGATCGAATTTCCCGGGGATCGCGTGCTCCTACGAGCCTCCATTGGCATTGGAGTAACCAAGGTCCAAGGACGTCGGTCCAGACTCCAGACTCCAGACTCCAGACTCCAGAACGCTATCTGAATTTCAACGCGGGGTTCCGGCGTATTGGCCATGGATGAATATTACTCGCGGCGATCCACTCTGTTCGGGGATACGCAACCCGAGGGCAAAAACGTTGAGCCAGGGAGCCGAACCCACGTGCCCTCAGAAAACAACGTTGATATTCTGATTATACGCATACGGTGCTGAGGGCTGAGGTGATTTACATTAATCCACAGAGGCTGAATGACCTCCAAAGATGCCCGTTATACCTACTTTCAATGCTACGAGTATTCCAAACATCCGAGCGAATTCAATTGGTGTTTGAAGACCAGGCATAAGTATTGGGTATCGCATCGCGCCATTGTATTCGGGGCTACGAACGAGGAGGGGCAAAAAACAACATTTACCCAATTTATCATATGCCTCCGGCGGGAGTCGAACCCACACTTCCCATGGCAATGACCTCTTGAGTGCTGTAGATGATTGAGGCAATCTCTTTAATCTACGGACGCTGAACGGCCTACCAAGATGCCCGTTATAATTATACCTACTTTCAATAAAATCCAAGTTCAAGTCCGCTACGCACCCGAGTGAATTCAATTGGTGTTTTAAGACCAGGCATAAGTATGGATGAATTGCATCGATCCACTGTGCTTTGAGTCGCATGCGAGGAAGGGCAAAAAAACAACATACACCAATATCCTTATGCCTCCGGTGGGATTCGAACCCACATCTCTTGAGAACCAGTTTCATCCTTTGGTATAGATCCAAGGGGATTTATCATTAATCTACGGAGGCCGAAAGGCCTACAAAGATGCCCATTAACCCCCTGCATTTGGGTTCAAGTGCAAAACTGCATCAACCATCCGAGCAAATTCAATTGGTGTTTTAAGACCAGGCATAAGTATGGATGAATTGCGTCGATCCACCGTGGTTGGAGGCAGGGGCGACAAGGAACGTAAAAAAATCCACGTCTTCCTGGATCATGCCTCCGGCGGGAGTCGAACCCACATGCCCTCAGACGATGACTACGCCGACCGCAGAACGGTACTGAGGTGATCTATCATTAATCTACGGAGGCTGAATGGCCTACAAAGATGCCTGTTATACCCCCTGCATTTGGGTTCAAGTGCAACACTGAGGTGATTCTGAATAGCCCCAAGGAACAAGTTGGGTTCTCAGTGAATTCAATTAGCGTTTGCGATCCCGTATTTGGGATACACCGGGCCAACAAGGAGGGGCAAAAACTTCCACGTCTTGCGCATGTATCTGGTGGGATTCGAACCCACACTTCCTCAATACCTTCTGTGAATTTCATCACCTTCCAGATAATTGAGGTGATCTAACACTAATCCACAGAGGCTGAATCACCAACCCAGGATGCCCGTTAACCCCCTTCATTTGAACAGTCCAAGATATGAACATAAATAGCCACTAGTATTTCACACAAATTGATGTTCAAGATCAAGCACATTGGGTGAATTGTGCGGTGTTGATCCATGTATTCGAGTCAAAGCAACCAGACAGACACAGAGCAAAAAAAATCTAATTCCCTTTCTTGCAATTTCTTGGAATGCCTCCGGTGGGAGTTGAACCCACACTTCCCGAGTAACAGATCAACATAGCAATACGGAAGATAATTGAGGTGATCTCTTTAATCTACGGAGGCTGAATGGCGCGTTATACCTACTTTCAATAAAGTGCAAGTTCAATCCGCTATGAGTATTTCAAACATCTGTGTGCGAGAACTGTTAGAAGTGGTTATTTATCTCAGTAGAATTACACGTGATCGCGCTAGTATGTAACACTGCGGTCGATCCGGAGGTCTTATCGACTTACGCTCGACCGCAGTACTTGTCTAGTCGACGGTCTGCGTTTCATAGGTTATGGGCCTCCGCTACTGATCGTAACCAAAAAAAGAAAAGAAAATTATCACCTCATTCCATTCGTCGACTAGACTCCAAAATCTTCGTCATGTCTGAACCCCCACAAAGACTCACATTCCCTCGTCTAAACGAGAAGAACTATTCCTCCTGGACCGGTGATGAGCGTGCCGAGCTTCAACGACTCGGAGTTTGGCTCATTGTCAAAGGCGTTATTGTCGTGCCCCCCAGTACCGACCCAGAGGAGAATCGCAAATGGCTCATAGACTCAGGCAAGGCCGCCGGGTCCATCTACGCCTCCATCGAGCCAGCACAGAGAGCACATGTCAGAGGGATGGAGGAGAATCCAGTGGCAATGTGGAACGCATTGGAGACGGTGCACAGGCAGAAGAAACCAGGTGCACGTTTTGCAGCATACAACTCCCTGTTCGCTATCCAAAAGGAACCCGACGAGACACTCACCAAGCTCATGGGGAGGGTTGACGACGCTGTTGCTCTGATCAAGGAACTTCACCCATCCAAGTTCGATATGGACGACTTGGATGGCGAGCTCGCATCAATGGCGATGATCCGAGCCCTTCCAGAAGAATACAAAGCCTTCCGTTCGTCTCTCTACCTCCTGCCGCAACTCGACAAAGCCACCATCACCGAGGCCTTCCTTCTCGAAGAGTCCGATCGCCAGGAACAGGCACGCAAAGAGGCCGAGATGGCGCTTGCACTCCAGGCCGCGGCGGCTGCCAACGCTGTCACTGCCGGAGTGACCGTTGAGGAATATTGTGATTGGTGTCGCCGCAATGGACACGCTACCAAGGACTGCCGTAGCATGGCAAGGATTCGTACTGAACAAGACAAGCGTCGTGCGAACAAACCACAATCCGCCAAGACCGCGCAAGCAGATGGAGAATCCGCCGCTGTCGTTACGGAGTTCGCTGGAAATGCAAGTGCCGCAGATCCCTCGTCACCCCTTCTTATCGAAGCCGGTGCTGACTGGAACACAGATACAGGTGCCACTTCACATATGACACCCCACCGTCATTGGTTTTCCACGTATAAACCTCACGTTGTCCCAATCCGCCTCGCCGACCATCAGATCATCTATTCCGCGGGCATTGGCAGTGTGAGATTCCAGCCGGAGATTTACGGGAAAATGGGTCAGATGGTGGAGTTCGAGAGGGTTTTGCATGTGCCTCTCCTACGGAGTAACCTCCTCGCCGTCCTGTACCTGACACGACAAAAACAATTTGTTGTCACCATTCATGCCGACAAGCTGCTCTTCCGAAGGAATCGAAAGCTCCTCTTCACAGCATCCATCAACGATTCCTACGCCGCATATCTGGACGGATGCACTGTCCCAAGCACCGAGCTTGCAACACTAGCAACGACCCTCCCCATCACACTTGATCTCTTGCATCGGCGCTGGGGCCACATCTCTCTTGATTATATCAAGGCTATGCTACGCAAACAGCTAGTGACCGGAATAAAGCTTAGCTCTAACGTCAAACCTGACCCCATCTGTGAACCGTGCATCGCGGGCAAGCAGCACCGTGGACCCATTTCGAAGCACGCCACGTTCTGTGCAACTCGCCCACTCCAACTCGTCCATGTGGATCTCCACGGACCCCTTCCCGTGCGAACGCCTGAGGGCCATCGCTATTGGACGACATTCATAGACGACTATCGGTGTGTGTGGGTGACCTTCAAGCTGAAGAACAAGAGCGAGTTCTTTCAGTGCATGAAAGTGTACAAGGCATTTGCGGAAAAACTCACTGGGCATCCGATGGAAGCCATGCGCGAGGACAAGGGAGGGGAGTTCATGTCGAAGGAACTCGACCGTTTCTGCAAGGAGCACGGTATACGTCGCCAGCACACCAACCGCGCTGAGCCGCACCAGAACGGCGTTGCTGAGATTGGTAACCGGATCATGGCAGAGCATGTAACGGCTATGCTAGTTGAAGCAAAGCTTCCGGCGTCATTCTGGGGTTTTGCGGCAGACACGTTTACGTACCTTCGCAACAGGGCACCCACGGCGGCCAATCCGTCCGACGAAATCCCTTACTCATCCTGGCACAAAGGCGCCAAGCCCAATGTGTCGAATTTGCGCGTATTCGGCTGCACGGCATATGTGCACGTCAAGAAGGATCAGCGCCGGAGGCTCGCCTCGCACACCAAGAAGTGTGTGTTCCTGGGCTACCCTCAGGAGTATCCGGGCTGGGTCTTCTGGCATCCCGAGTCGAAGAAAACGGTGATCAGTGACCGTGCTGATTTCGATGAACGGTACTTCCCTGGAAACACTACGAAAATCGCAGACGCCGTCCCCATACCGGCACCAGTTCCCGCCGTCTACACTCCGCTTCCTGTAGTGCAGGATCAGGGGGGTGTAAAGACGAATGATCCTCATCAGGATCCACTGACCGTTCCGCGCGCCGACTCGCCGCCGTTCGGTTCATCACCTCTCTCATCACCTCCTACGACACCTCTGGCGTCGCCTCCCGCTTCTCCTCCACGACAACACCATCGCCGGACCGAGGCAGAGCGGCTCATTGACGAAATCCCGCCGTTCCTGAGACTTGATGCAGATCCGAGAGATTTCCACTCGTACGACGTACCTGATGTGGGAGTGAACGATACAGGGGCCGAGGAGGTGCATTTCGCATCCGAGGCATCGCTGCAGGCAGGACTTGAGCATGTCTATGGAGCCGGGCAAGACGAGACACTCACTTTGTCTGAAGCCTTCGAATTTGTGCACGTAGCTTCCACTCAGCAACCAGCGCAGGAGCCGAGATCCTATCGCGAGGCCATGCAACGTCCCGATTGGCAGAGATACCATGATGCCGCATGCGAGGAAATTCAGGCGTTGCTTGAGAACGGCACGTTTGAGCTCGTACAGCTGCCTCCAGGCCAAAAGGTGATTGGGAGTCGATGGGTCTTCAAGGTCAAACGCAACGCCGACGGGTCCATTGAGCGGTACAAGGGCAGAGTCGTGGCCATGGGAAATCACCAACGCCCTGGATACGACTTCACAGATGTCTTCGCTCCCACGCCGAAATGGGCAGCTCTTCGCACGATCTTAGCTATCAGCGCTCTCGAGGACCTAGAGCTGGAAAGCATCGACATCTCGTCAGCTTTCCTCAACGGAGAGATCGATGCAGAAGTCTACATGCGGCAGCCAGAGGGTTTTATGCAGAGAGACTCGTCCTGGTGTGGAAGTTGATCAAATCAATCTACGGCCTCCGACAGGCATCGCGTATCTGGCATAAGAAATTGGACGCGACGTTGAAGAACCTAGGCTTCGAGCAGATCCGGTGCGAGCACAGCGTGTGGGTGTGGAAACGAGAGGAAGACCGGATTATTTTCCCGGTATTCGTCGATGACATCACGATCGCGTCCAAGAATAAAGCCGGAATCCAGGAGCTTAAAGAAAGTCTCAGAAAATCTTTCAAGCTTCGCGATCTCGGTCCTACCACGTTCCTTCTTGGTGTCGAAATTATCCGAGACCGACCTGCGCGCTCCATATCTCTATCCCAACGCCAATATGCTCTCGACATCCTTCATCGTTTTGACATGGGAAATTGCAACCCTGTCTCAACGCCTATGGACCCCAGTGTCCGATTATCCAGCTCCATGTGTCCCCAATCTGCGGCGGACACCGACTACATGCAGGACAAGCCCTATGCTAATGCTACAGGCGCTCTCACTTATCTTGCCAACGTTACGCGTGCAGACATCGCTTATGCGGTGGGAGTTCTCTGCCGTTTTAACTCTAATCCCGGTCCCCAGCACTGGAAAGCAGTGAAACACCTCTTCCGCTACATCAAGGGAACACTCGACATGAAGCTTACCTATGCTCCTGGCGACAGTCCATCTTCTGAGCTCTTCACCACATATTCCGACGCTGATCACGGGGGGAATCTTGACAACGGACGTTCTACTTCGGGTATGGTTGTCAAAATTGGCACTGGGGCAGTCAGCTGGCATAGTCGCCTACAGACCATCGTTACATTGTCGACCACAGAAGCAGAGTACGTTGCTGCATGCAAAGCTGGGATGGAAATCATGTACCTTCGCAATCTCTTCACCGAGTTTGGGTATCAAATCCCGGGCGCATCCACACTTTACATCGACAATCAATCAGCAATTTCTGTAGCCAAGAATCCGGAGCACCACGGCCGCATGAAACACCTCGATCTTCGTTTCTACTGGCTCCGAGAAGCCGTAGACCGCGAGATCATACATGTCTTGCACTTGCCCGGAGTTCAAATGCCTGCAGATCTTCTTACAAAGCCACTCGGACGTCTTAAAGTTGAAGAATTTCGTCTCATGTTGGGGATATATTAACGTGTATATTCTATCTCGTTAGGTGGGAGTGTTAGAAGTGGTTATTTATCTCAGTAGAATTACACGTGATCGCGCTAGTATGTAGCACTGCGGTCGATCCGGAGGTCTTATCGACTTACGCTCGACCGCAGTACTTGTCTAGTCG